GGTTGAAGCAAAAAAATCGTCGTTTTGGCAAGTGATTAGAAAAAAAAAATTTGATTTTCTTTCGATTTTCGCCCATTTCATATTGCCAGTTTTATGGACCTCGCCCTCCAGCTAGGTGGACTGAACATATCCGTGAGGTGGCTGTCAGTGGTTGGATGAGAAGAGCTGAACATCGAGCTGAGTGGCGTGCAATTAGAGAAGTCTATGTCCAGCAGTGGACATAATCAGGCTTATGATGATTACGATGAACTTCAAGCCTCCTGATAACGTGGATATATTAGTCCAACTGACTACTGTCCCATAAAATAAGATACTTTTGTTTATTAGTGACACATTTGTCTGCAAATGATTATGTTTTTCAAATCTAAGCGTGAAGTTGGTAATACGGTCGTTTTCAAGTAGTCAAATTCAAAACTTTTATTAAAATGACAAAAACGGTAATTCCTGGGAATTTTGTTTGAAATTGCAACATGCACAAGTCATGGCGAATTTACATAAAATAACATGTTTTTTTTAATCATTTAAATTAAGTGGATTGTTAAATCAGTAAGCATTTATGTATCTATGTGAATATACCAAACTGTAATTTACTTAGAATCGTCTAACTTATTTGCTCCACTTAACCTACCTTAACAAATACAGATTTTAGTCCCTTGGTCCTTGCGTATACAAAATTGCCTGACCCAACAAATTTCGTAAAATTAAACGCTATTTAAGGAACACAACATTTATAGACCATTGATTAAGATACTTAGACTCGCGTGGTCGGTTTAGGAACAGCTAGTCTAAGTTAACGATTGTATAGAAATTTCACCCTTCATTCCCAGGCAGTGTATATGGAAACTTGTTGCGAATCCTTCGCATGCCGCTGCAAGGAGCGCTCCTATTCAATGTCTAAGTATTTACATGTATCTTATGTACGTTCGTTCACCGAAAGTTTGAGGAATTAATTAACCAAAGAGTTTCTAGCTTGCACCAGTTAATCTCAATTATATCTATAGTGACGCAGAGCACCTTTTATATGCAGCATCAAGTACTATGAAAAGACTTCACATATTTAGCTTAAATTTATGAACTGACCAAATTGATTTTATTACGTTTTATTTGAATTACTTACGAATATTGAGGTTATGATTGTTACATACTTATATGTATGCATATATCATTGCTAAGATTGGAAGTTATGTATTCTATTTGCAAGTTAAGTTTTTGTTATTTGGGGCTTTTATTCAGTATCTACATGAGAATCCTAACAATGGTAATTTCCTTAAATTTAACTGAAAATCCACTGCATAGAAACGACAGGTCCGGGTAGATTGATATGCAAGCGTTCATACACGCAACACAGTAGGAACACTAGCAGTAAATATCTGTCAGAAATGGCAAACATCTGTGCAATATTGAAGTTTTATGCGATCTGAAATCTTTGCTCTAAATCCAACCTAAAACATTAGCTATGAGTACAAATTATGATTGACCACGCTACTCGAGAAAGCGAGAAAGTATTTAGCTCCAGTAATGCTTGGCAAACGACGGTATTACTCACAAGTCATACACCACATGTAGTGATGTAGTGTGACTACATAAAGATATATACACACGAGCACGCCGCATGGATTCCTACAACATAGCTCTCTATCGATCGATAGCTATCTCACATTGCCAACCAAAAAAACATAGACGTTAAACAAAAATTTAATAGCTGCATTAAAATTTTAAATATATTGTAAAGCACAAACATTCCTGTACACCTCGCACCAACGGGAAGCTCTGCATCCCGTTTTTATTTTTAATAACTTCTCGTTCATACACTGTACTAGACATTTTTCTATTACGAAATGCCCCAAATTATAATAACAGTAAGCGGCGAAGTGTCAAGTGTCTGTGCTAGCTTCCTGGTGTTGTATTTATAATCGACACACGAAAAACAAACAACGCTTGCCGGCGCGGCAGCTCAGCGCGGGCGCAGCTCCGTCTCACCTAACCTACATGCTATCGCGTCGAACACTGCCCGATCTATTGTGATCGTAGTACAGGACTAAATTATAACCTAAATCTGCGTCCGTCTGGACTGAAAGTATGCGAAACACGTACCATTGGTAGTTGAACGGTGGTGTGCCGGTGGGAACAGGCAGGACGAGGGTCGCGTCGCTCCCGGGTGCCGCCCTGACGGTGAACAGCCCGCTGGCAGGGAACGACGGGGGCTCCATAGGGCTCCAGTCCTCTCGGGCCGCGCGCGACTTGCCGTGTGCGCGCGACGACGCCCGCCCGCCGCCTATCTAAAAATAATACGGAAAAATGTAACGCGCGCGCCACCGAAATTCGTACGACGCGAATATTTTGCCAATACCACTGACTACGTTCAAATTTTGTACGCGATCAGCTGATCAGCTGACTAACAGGAGTTTTACAAGGGCCCGGGATAAAATCTTTCAAGCGGTTGCTTCTACAAAGCGCAGCATAAGACTGGATACCTGTTACACAGTTTTGGTGCGGATAAACATTCACGAAATTAAAATTGTTTGGTATTTTATTAGGATTTAATTTTAGCTATTTAAGCTTTCATATATCAATATTTTAGAGAATTTTAGGTATTTTTTTTTTAAATATCTTCATCGTATTCAGATAAACCACTCCATTTACAAAATAGTAGTTCCTACCTCGATGCTTTTTGATTTATACTTATTCAAAGCTTTTATTGTTTACGTATCTAATTGTCTTTTAAGGTAACTTATTAAGTAAATAAAAGATTTTGTTTTACCTATAATGCTGTCTTAACTTCAATATTTAACAGACTTTTAATTTAAAACTTATTACAAATATTTATCACACTATTACAATATTATTAAAAATATAAAGCTTGCCTGTAAATTTAATAAGGGTATGTCTCACGAACGATGTTTGTTGCTCTTCCTTAGATGTTAGGCGCCAAACTATTAAAGTGTTATAATATGCATCATTGATTTTTATTAAATTTAGTAGTAGGTAGCAGTAAGTATGTATAATTAAATATTCAAATATTCGCTCCTACTGATAATATTTTTTTTCTCATACCAAAAAGCAAAGTCTTTGTAACAAATCCGATTTTGATTTGATTGAGACGAAAGATTTAGAATGGTATAATATGTTTGTAAAAAATAGTAATACAATACCTAAGTGGTCTTAATGCCCCCGGTGAGTTCTTCATGGCAATGTTTGCTTCTTTTGAATAAGATAAGATATATAAAAAACTAGACAAAACGAGACGAGTTGTAAACAATGTTTCGTAATGGCGGGAAAAATTAATAGTATCCTATGCGCGCGCATCGCCCATAGACTAAAAAATGTTGTTTCATTTTTTGGGCTTTTCGCGGACAGCGTTTTAAACGCAAGTGTAAGTGTAATACAAATAATATTAAAAAAAATATATAGTGAATAAGGGAAATGAAAAAGTCAGTTTGACTGTAGATGTCATTACGTTCCTAATTGCCATGGGATTGGAGCCACTTTATGAGGAAGTGTGTTAAAAAATTATTAACATAGTATAATGACGCGGATATTAAGGCGAAAAGTATTTTTAATACCTTGGAAGGCTTGACGTTTCGACCTTGTTGCAAAAATCGTGGTCGCAAGCAGACTGAGGATGCGACGTCACTGCTCCCGGCATTCGGGCGATGAATCGTCTTTTCTATTTTCTACCATATTAGGCCATCTACACACTACGCTGACCGTATTTACAGATGTGTTAACTGAGTTTGAAAAAAAGCGAAGTTATGAAGCGAATCACTGGATTCCGCTTCGATGACAAATTTTAATGCCAGCTTAATTACCTATATTATGTTACCATAAAAGGCGAAAGTTTTAATTAGTATTTTAAAAGTATTATTATACCAACTTACTTTTAATCAATCCATCACACACACCCACATCAAACCCGATGCTCAGCTTAATTTGATCGTAGCGTGATGTTAATAGCCTATAGCTCTCAGGAACTCAGGAACATTGTATTTTGATACTAATGTACATTGATTACCCCCTATGAACAAACTTACAAATTTTACCTCTTTATAATCTATACTTATATTATAAAAAAAAAAATGGATCGCAAAATGAGTTGGTAAGCGCATAACTCAACAACGCCTGGACCAATTTTGCTTATTCTTTTTTTGTTGTGTTTGTTATTGTCAGGAGAAAGTTCTTATGAAAGAAAATATGAGAAAACTAGAGGGGACGATTAGGAAAAAGTGACCCTTTGATAGCGAGATAGATGGACCCGTGCGAAGCGGGGGCGGGCCGCTAGTATTAGTATAGATTTGCGAATGCAAACAGGCAGGTACAACGAAATCGTCACTTAAAAAATATTACTTTTAAATTGTTGTATGCACCTATAAATAAATATACTTACCTATATACGTACCAGCGTACATAGCGAACATACTAAGTATGTCGCTTCCTTTCACAAATTGTAGACAGTCTTTACTGTGCCTTGAAGGGTCATCATTCCCACTGACAGATCACCAGTCCGCAAGTACCTAGTGTGATTTTCGTTGTGGATCCCTTGGGGTGGAGCTAGAGGATTCTGGTAGAACTGTTTTATTGTTTTTTTTTTTTCTTATAATGTTCACACTTTCTTATTTAAAATCGATAGCCCAACACAATTTGAACTCGGCATCTATTTTCGCTGTTTTGAAGCATGCTACTAGTCTTCGTGTCCCATGAATAATAGACTAAAATTGCTCTTAAGCGCCACGCCATAAGACCGATGACCCGGTGATAGGGTTAAAAGAGAAAACGATGACGTGGGTCGGGAGAGTTCGGAGTAAAATTCAAAATATCGATTTTAGGAAGTGAACTGTATTAATATGATAAACTGTTTCTGCTAGAAGTTAATTGGAAGGGTGCCATTAGATGGTCTACAGTACAGATGTTTCAGAATAAGTTTTGATGCGTTCTTTTGGATAGATTAGTGCAAGCGTGTAAGAGAGTACATTTCAAAAGAAAAGCGAAATAAAACCAGATATTTAATGATACCATTATTTATTTATCAAGTTATACATATCCGAATACACTTACAACTAATTCGACTAGACCAAAAATTAGGCTAATCTATAATAAATAGTTAGTACCAGGGCTGTAGGGTGTACTTAACTAATAAAATATATTTAATTAAACTATAAAACACAGTGACTTAAATAAACGTGACTTTGGGACACACAGCTTGTAATTATAAAGCCCTGGTAGTAAGGATTTGAGAGTACCAATGATTAGAACGAAGATTATGCGTTGATGTTGTCATTGTACAAGAATGTCGGTAAATGGTACCCTCCAAACGAAATGATTTACAACCATATTATTATCTGCATCTGTTGCAAATACTGTTCCATAAAAATATTTACGACGACCACTGAACAATTTTAGGTTGGGTTAATTTCACCGCAATCAAAAACCGGACGGAACCAGCTCGCACCGGCTTCAACTAGTGCGTTAAAAACTTGGATTTTTGCCATCGCCGTAAAACGATATGTCAGATTTTAACTTTAATTTATGAAATGTAATCATGATGAGTAAAAACATTTTAATTCTCAGAATTTAAGAATTTAGATTGTTTCACGTGGTTTGGTATTTATCGTTAATATTTTTATGTTAAGTATTTGGGCCGAATGCCTCAAATTTATTGTACGCTTAGTTATAAGAGGAGGTATAGGTACTAAAAGATTCTTAGACGTAGACTGACAAATTGGCACTGTCAAGGTGACCCTACATACACAAAATAGTGACATGAACCGTCAGGAACCGAGTTCGTGATCGTGAGGTATAATAAAAAGTTTTACTCAAAAGCATTCCGGTTTTTAAAATCCGTCAAAATGTTTTATAAAGATATTGTTACCAAAATGTTATTGTTAGCTCGACAAAGTTGAGCATTTTAGAACAGTGCCAAAAGGTCGTAAGAGGATTACAAGTTAATAGTAAAATAGTGTAAAAAATACTTTTCAGACTAAGTGCAGTCTATACTTTCAATTCGTTTAATGAAGTACGAAGCCTAAATAATAAAATTCGTGGATTTATTGGTGATTCGTAATAGCGGATGGACTGGATTAACACTGGCTCTTTGGTTTACATTAGGACTTGCCCGACAGCAGACCTGTCAGGTCGACACGTTTCAAAATCACATCAGGTCTCTCCAATCCATTGCTTAACACAACCACCACATTAGTTAAAAATAAAAAAATAACAATCACAATAGCACAAGTTTAACTCGCACCAAGGGTTCCGCACAATCACAAACAATCATAAAGTATACGAAAAAATAAATGCAACCATTTTGAGATCTTCAATTTGGACCCTCAACTTCCGTAAATATCAAATAAAATATAAAAACTAATATTGAGCATATATTTAAAATAAATCACTCATAGCACGGAACCCATAAATATATAAAAAAGAAAAATAAATAAAGTAACATATTTTTTGCTTCTGCCATTAGCTCGCGTGACAATATATTTACAAAAGGTTAGCAAACGCGTTCTTACTTCAATTTTAATTTTAATTCTAAAGCGGTCGATTAGGCTTCAACAGGTATTTGAAAAACAGACGGGGTATTAATTTATAATCAAAATGGTGGAAGTTGTAACTGTTTTATTGCGATAAAAAGTTTAGCTGCCGTAGACTGCATAGCTCTTCCTTGACATCGCAAAAGAACAGGGACGGACTCCACGTTTCAAAATATACGAACCATTTTGTTTAGTTACAATTTTTATATCATTAGATGTATTTTTGTATAATTTAAATCGAAGCTACAATCATGGAATTAGCTAACAGAAGCTGTTGAACTGACCGCTTTTAAAAATTTTTATTCTAAAGAAATGAGCGAAAAAAAGCTCTTAAATACAGCCGTTTAGTTTCTAATCATCATTAATAGCCATGGGTACTAAGCATGGCGTTAAAATTTTAATAATACTTTTATCTTTCCCTATCACTCTCAATCCTACCCGATCCGCCGCTAAAGTGCACTGGGGAGTTTACGTTACAGTTATAAAAAGTGACTCTTAAACTCCTGCCAGTATATTCAAATGTAGAAATTACGAATTTAGAATTTATAAAATATGCTAGCAAATACAAAATCACTTTAATTGAAATTTTTGATCAGTTTGGATTTTAAAATCTTGCGATTACGCTATTGTTACGTAGCCCTGCCCCAGTGCGCGCGGTACGATTAGCAAAAAATATGTTATAAAAATATTACTTCTCACTAGTCATTACCATTACGTTTTTTATACAAAAACAGGGTAAAAAAGCTAAGACATGGACGGGAGAAACCTTTTTACACCAATGTATTGTTGAGTCAATATAGACGACTGGCGACAGCCATTGGTGTACAATGTTTTCTCAAAACAATAAATTGATTGAATTTACAAAATTATAAAATTAAGTCTTTTAAACTCAAGTCCAAGAAGTTTTAGTCTGGCTAAAACTGTTAAACTTATATAAAAATAAAATAAATTGACCAATTATTACTACTTATTCGCTAAATTAAAAATTATATCTAATATTAATAAAACATAATCATCGAAATAAAATAAATTGAATTTTAGATTATTAAAGGGTTACCAACTAGGCAAATTGTATTTCGGTTTGTTTTAAAATGTATGTCAAGTTCTTTTGATAATAATAATTTTAACTATTATCTGGGAACGTTTCATGTGGCCCATTATTACTGAATTCAAATAAATCAGTCTGACTTCTCCGTGTAGCGTGGAACAAGTAAAAATATTTCTACATATTGTGATGATGTGTTAAATTCAAAAAAATAGGTTAATAATTTACTCACATTAATGAAAACCACAATATTATTGACAATATAGTAAGTCGATTACCCCACAATAAACCATTGTAAATTTTACAAACTTGTGTATTTTTGTACACTATGCAAAACATACAGTCTGAGGGTTTACATTTTTATACTTTCAAACATTTTTTTACTGATGATGAAGTTTTAAGCATTTGACGTTTTATGTTGAGTTCTGATACAATTCTGAGAAAACTGAACCAGTTAGAGAGAAACGGGACATGTATATTCTATATAGACGTAAATCTTTTCTTGTGTCGTTCAACATATTGGTTGCAGTTGAAAGAATATTGGTGCAAATAAAAAAAAACTGGTTCTAATTAGAATAAAAGACAATACACAGCTATGTAATCTATTACAATTAATTCTATACACACCAATTTTTAACTACACGCGGACTGAAAGATATAACAATAATTTGACGCGAGATTCGATTTTTCAATGCGAATCCGCTAAAGCTATCACGTCCCTGGACAACAAGTCTTCAGTTAGTCTCTAGACATTAAATGACCGCAGTGATCGGGACTTTAAAATCAAGAATATATACGAGATAATTCCTCTGCTATGCATTTCAGAGCCTCTTCCAGTCCGCTACACAAATTAAGGTAAAGATCATTATAATAATTTTGTGGAATGTTTATGAATATTGAGATGAAACAGTTTAAGACAACATTGAGCAGACATTATGTGTACTTACCGATGACTTCGGGACTTATTACACAGTAAAATCGCTCATGAGACGCTTACCTACATCATGAGACTGGGATCTCCATTTAGCGTAAAGCATTTCCAATCATGATGAAAATGAACTTCTTATATTAAATATTAACTGCAAGAGACATTTATTTGCTACTGTCATGGTAACTGAGTTGGTATTTTTGTTTGATTTACAATACATATTTCAATGAGTTCGCTATTAATAATGAATAAATAGACACACAACTATAATGAATTTTAAACCATCCAACGAATAAACTCCACTACTTTTTATTACAATATCGAACTGTAAGAGAGAAAATTGTGCAGACATTTTTGTATTCCTTGGTATCCCGGGAATCACAGAAACCTGTAAAGAAGTCCATGTTACACAATAATATCTCCCAGTGAGTATGCTTAATACACAGACACATATTGTCCTGGAACCTCCGTATTGCTCAAATGTTTCAAGCAGTTCCACTTAAGATTTATCACTTTTTTAATGTTTATTTGTTACATTATGATAATGAGATTCTTTGCAATGAAATTCTGTTCTTTAAAGTCTACACAGGGCGAAATGGGCTCGACTACATCATTGAAACCCGTTTAAACATGAGCGATGTCTGGAATTTTGTAATTGTTATCTGTTCGCCGATGACCTTTGGGCTTAATATCAGTATTTCCATTCTGCTCAACAATCGTGTCCTTCTTCTTGGGGACGGGATTATTGTTCTTCTCAATAGACATCACGCTACACATGCACGAGACATCGACCATGACGTTGTGGACCTTATCCTCTGGCACAGCTACCGACACAGCCTTGTTTGTTTTCCTCCTCTCGTCATATCGCACTATTAAAGTTTGTGCGTCTTTTTTCTTGGCGAATTTACGTCGAGATTCGGTAGCCATTAATTCGGATGAAGAAGAAGAGGGTTTGTAATGGTATTTCAAGTTGCGTCGAACACCGCAACGGCAAGCCCTTAGAGCAATCTCCCGCCTGCAAAGAAAGTCTACGTTAGAAAAGCATATCAAGATTTTCTTGGCCTGAATAAGAATATGACATAGATTAGATTCAGCCTAGCTTAGCCATAGCTTGTCCTATGAAAATTAAATCGCCATTTATAGTCGTCGCATTTAGGAAAATATCACATACACATTATTTTCAGAATTTTGGTCGTCTATAAATAATGGTTGCGAACTCGCTTAGACTGATAGTAGGTGCATTCATTTCTAAAACGTACAATATATATTTATAGTTGCAACTAAAAGCCGCCGCAGGTCAACGCGAAGCTGAAGTTAATTATAATACTAACTCTATATTTAGTCAACAATGTATTTTTTTAAACTGACTCGTGGATATCGAGTTATTTCTAGAGCGACTGCAATACTATACTTGCATTTATTTAGTTCTTTCGGGCCTAGAGGTATTATCTCTAATGGAAATTAGGCCCAGGGCACCCGTGGTGGTGTATTATATCTATTGTAATGTATGTTTATAAAATTACAGTAAAACTTAGCAACAGTTCATATCTACGGCTTTGAGATTTATAGAAGATAAATTTGATATTTTGAAATAAAATTAACACACACTCTGGAGCAAAATAACTGAAATTGGCTAATTATTCGCTTAGGCTATAATTATTAGTGCTATATAAACTTAAAACTTAAACATATTTAAAAATAATTACAGCGCAAATCTTTAATACCTATATGCTACCATAGGCATCGCAAGCGCAACAGCCGACTTTTGAATTTGTTTGAAGGGTATTTTCTTTGGCTTTTTTTATTGATATTGTCAAAATATGGCTTCGAGTGTGGAATATTGGCCCATCCCCTAGTACCTGGGATTCGTAACATAGCTGTTGGCCCACTATAGTGGGTGATGCGTTGACATAGCTATAGGCCCACTATATTGGGTGATGCGTTAGATATCTGTACCTTGGGCTAGCCACTTGTATAATAAAGCTATGTTACTCTACCACTTCCACGCTTTAGCAACTAAGATTAAATTAATTAAAAACGCTTAACAAAATTTGTGTACACCTTAAAAAAGATTACAGGACACGAATCAATTAACGGAGAAAAGAAGTATTTTACACAAATTAAATCGCAACAGCTATTTGTTTATGAATTGATCCTAAAATCGAAAGTGTACTTAAATATTAAGAATTAACCTGAAAATAAGTGAATAAACAGTCTTGTCAGTCGAGTGGTTGTTCAATCTTAAGTTACGATTCCCTAGCTACGAAAATGCGTGAGTTGCACTTACCAAAAATGTCTCATACGATAGGTACAAATAAATATACATAACATATCAAAATAATTGATGCAAAGTGGTAGTGGTACAACTCTGCCTGTCCCTTAGGAAAATAAAAAGCGTGACATAGTTAAAAAGAAAGATAGATATGAAAGGAAGTATCTAAGGCCCACTTTGGCCAAATATTGCCTCAGGGTTCTTTATCAGGACCAGATGAAAGTGTCAGATTGGTTGAATGGTTCACTTCACTACCGCTCGCCTTACCAAGCATGGAAGAAGCCATTCAATATGCTTCAAAGAGCTATCAGACCCTGGTCCGAAGTCCAACCAGGTTGTAAGTGCAAGCGCAATGAAGTACCGCATCGAGGCTCGAAGTAGGAGATGGAATGTGTTAGGTTTTAATCAATAAGAATCTGATACTTTTTAGCCCCACTCAGAATGGTAGGCCAGTCATTAGAAGATTACCCCCATTAACAAAAAGTTGCATCACAGTTCAAATCAGCCGTAGATCAAATAACAGCCTCTTATCGGTTTTATTAACAGATATGCCGCTCAATATCGGTTACCTATCAAGTACTGAGAACTAGTATTTAGATACCAGTGTCAGGAAGAATAGGTATACGTTTTCTTCGCAGTATTTGACCTGTTGCTACTACACGACTATAGCTCATTGTAAGGTTTGCACGACATAATACAATTATTTTGTCGTCAGTATGCACAATATGATTCAATTGTATAGCTCGATACATTATGAATTGACTTTGTTCTTTTTTGTTGTTCCGTTGTACGTAATTGAATGTTGACACAGATTCAATTCATATTTTCAGAAATACTTGACAATACTGAATGTACGAATATCTTTTGTGTGTTCATATTTGTAAATCTTTAAAGCTCTTCGAGGAATATTGCACAATTTTGACCTGTGCTCAAAAGCAACTTGGCGCTACGTACTATTTAGTTATATTGAGGATTCAAATATTAACCGATTCGATAAATAATCGGATAAAAAGTTAGATCCCATCACCAAATTCCTACGACAATCAGTCTATCTTTAATTATCATCATAATTTCGGATACATAGGCTGAAAGTTTTAGAATTATTCTAAAACTTTGAGCGCTGCTTCATTATAACTTTTACTTTCAATATACAAACTACATTTTGCTTAATGAAATTCAAGTGTTTGTTTTACTATGTGGCGATTTTGCTGAACCCGGGTAATTAAGTGGTGAATGTCAAAATTATGCACATGCCAGTAAATCAATTTTATCTTCAACTGGCTTTGAATAAAAACATCACAAGTTTCTCTAGTGTTTACTAATAAACCGAGAAGAAAAGGGGTTTGGACGCAAAGTGAAACCAAGTAACAAAGCTAATAAGGAATGTACCATATTTATGCAACAAATAAAAAATTCAGCTTTTAATAAGATAACAATTAATGCCAAAAGTATAGAAGTACAGAAGCAAATTTAATTTGGCACAACGACCAACGCGACTTAGCGTAGGTTGTTTTTTTTTTTCAATCACTTGGCCTATTATTTCGCGAAAATGTGGGAATGACTTCAAAGATTTCTGGCCCTCAGAGTGGGCCAAGGGGAAGTGTCAGTCTTTCACTGACTAAAAACCACCCCGGCCCTTCTGTTACGAGCCAGAGTCGCGGTAAATAATTTCGCTTGCACTCGCATCCCTGGCAGTACAAATTTTATCTGTCTTTCATATAAAACGGTTTAGATGAACAGGTGGTCCAGATATAAAATAAACTTTAAGACAAGACATTAGACCGAAAAAGTCAAATATTTTACTTAGACAAAGAATGACCAGAGAAAAATCTATTCACATACGAAACAAAACGTTTCATGGAAATTTATAATGTTAAACGATGTTTGTAAATACAAGAATACAAGAAAAATAGAGACTTCCATATAATATTACGTTATTTTTAAATAAACTCTCGATTATTAATTGTTTTTGAGAGTGGATTTCCGAAGAACTACTTACTATCGTAATTTAAACAATCCGAAAATATGGTACTCGAGATTCATCGTGAAATCAGAGCGGATTGTTAAAGTGAATTTCTCTTATCAGTTTTCAGTACACAATAACTTCAACTGCATTATGACTTCAACTCAATATTCTTGCTTGCATTCTTTATTGAAAGTTATTTTATTTTTCTCCACTAATTGGGGTTGTTCAAACGTTCTTGACTCGCGTAATTAGCTATGTAATACGCTTGGAATCATCAGCCTCCAAAGGGTCATTGAACTGCGATGCAATAGTATCGATGAGATTCCATCATATAACATAGGCACCTATACATAACATCTTCAGTCTTTAAGTGCTTACTGCTGATCAAGGGTCTCTTTTCACACGGAGAAGGTTTGAGCATTCATCAACACGCTTGCTCAATTGTTGATTTTAAAAATATGAAACGGAATTTTAAGTCCAGGTATGCTCACGATATTTTGGGTCCCTTTAAATAGTTTAAATCAATGGCCAGGGTTATTTCGTATTCGAGTGTACAGGGTTATATTGCCATAACAAATGAATGATGAAGTATGTTACAGTAAGTAGAAAATTGTTGGAACTCTATGCACCGTTGCGGTTCAACCGGACCGCATCGGTGCCGTCGCGTCGATCGGTCGTACAAAACCCATGACTTTTTTTTTGAGGGGACCCAGGACATGAAAACATAATTTTTCTGAACAGAGGCAACGCTTTAAGCTTTCGATCTGGTAACATTGGATTATAAATGTAATCACCGGCAAATGAGTTTAACTATTATTTAATTAATAATACCTATTCATGGATTTTGGTTTAATATAGCATATCGTATTAATGTAATGGTACGGTGTTTTGTACATTGTAAACCAGTTATTCTACCGAGGCTTGCAGTTTAGCTCTCTCTAATGGGATCCGACTCTACGAGAAAATCAGAAATCTGAATCTGAATGATGCTAATATACCTATGTGACCCACCTAATAGTAAGCTATCGTTGGAAGAACTTTCAAATTATTACAAGTATAAATAAATTCGATAAACAAAGCGATTCGAAACCGAAAATTAGACCATTAATTAAGAATCCTACAAAAACCAAACAACTAACAAAAGTTACGAGATACGACATTTTACGGAAAAAGAACTTCAATTTTCGTAAAATTACTTTTAAAGATATTTTCACAATAATTGTCACTCAAACAAATGGAGGGCAATAAAATTTGAATACTACTTTTAATATTATATAGATAACGAGGTACAACGAGCTTGTCAAGTGGAACTAACAACAAGACCGTGCCGGTGCCTAGGTAACTGCATAACAAGGACGCTGGTCAAATTCTCGAATGTTCCTTGAAAATCTACGGTCACCTACTGCTAGTTAATTCAGCCGGACGAAGTCAATGCGAATAAGACTATGCTAAGTCATGAGATTTTCTATAGAATTCAAAGTGTGATTTTTGACAAAAATTAAGTTAAGTTTCCTATGTCATAACGAACACATGATTAAGCCGAAAAATAATTAATTTAATATGTCTCGCGAAAGTGATTTTTAATCCCATCCCATTAAAAATATAGAAAGAGGATCCCTTATTTCAACCTTTTGCCTTTGGTAGTTTCGGCTTTGCTTTGTCATAGGCCACTTAGTAACAGAAGAATGTTGATATGAGGTCAATTTGAGATATAAAGGTACATATCTGAGAAAATTTAGTAGATTAATATTAAAGGAATCTTTTCAACTTAACGAGGAGTAGACTTTTTAACTTTTTTCGATTCTATTTTTAATTATTTTTTGTGTAGTGTGGTAAAAATCTTTTTTCGCGTGTTTATTTGTACCATCGTGCGTGCCTGGTCCAAATTAAATATTATTTCTTTCTTCCTTCTTAACACAGAGTATCTAATTATTCCGACTTCATTGAAACCCAAGCACTTACTCTATATATTCCTATTATTCATTACTGAAACAATTAAATAAAAATTAATTGAAATAAACAGTTGAAAACTTTAATTCACTTGCCTTTGTAATAAGAGTTAATATCGCTTGATTGTTAATGAAGTTTTCGTAGAACATAGTTGCAACAAAAATAGAATTAAAAGATCGATTTTATTTTATTATTTAGGCGATTTATATTGTTGTAGGATTTTAGATTTATTTACCATGGAAAATGAAGCAAGTGACGCCTATGAATATTAATAATTGTGATCGATAAGTTGCAAGCGTTTATTGATTAAATACTGTGTGTCCCTGAAAATTATTTTCAGCATATAGGTTTTTATATAAAAGTAGCCTAATTTTTTTAGTGGCATCACGCGTGACAATTATTTTAACAGAGACCCAATCCTTCCCCTTCCCTAATCCCTAAAAGGTCGGCGACGCACTCGTAACTCCTCCGTTGCGGGTGTCCTTGGGCGGCGCTGATTGCTTATCATCAGGTAATCCGTTTGCGTCTATCCGTTTGCCGACATGTTACATAAAAAAAAAGATTACCAATGAGTATGATAACAAGGAAATACCACAAAACTTGGTAACTTCCAAAAGAAAATGTCCTAAAAATGTACAAAACCACAACGCTTTTTATTTCCTTGAGGAATAGGCAGAACTAAACATATATACACTTCATCACCTCATTTCATTTCAATTGCAGACACCGTGCTATTGCTGAAATCGAGAAGCGCTAAAAATGGCAATAACATTTACAAAAAAAAAATCCCAACTCAGGAATCGAACCCGAGACGTATTAGAATTCGCGAAGGCATCATTTACGAAGAAAAATATACGCATTGCAATAAATTAAACAATGCTAAGAATCTGCGTAGTAATACAGGTCTGTAAGGTACGTGAGACAGTCGCACATCAAATTACCCTTAGCATGCATAACCTGTACGCAAGAGACGACACCAGAAAAGTGGTTTACAGTAATTGGAAAGAGCTGAAGATCGCGCTTAAGTACATTGTACTCCATCGTAGGTACAAAAACATCGTCGCTGTCGAAATATTTTTTATACTGTATAGAACGGAAACATGGGTTTAAGGATTGAAGGTATTGGGGAGTGGAAGGAACAGCATCATACAAATAACTAGCTACTCTCGCGCGGTTTCACCTGCTGCTCGGCTCCATTTAGCGTAGCGTGATGTTTTATAGCCTGTAGCACTCAGGAACATTGTAGCTATGTATCAGTGAAGAAGAGAATTTTGGAAATCCGACGAGCAGTTACAAAGATTACCCCCTACATACAAAGTTACAAAATTTACCTCTTTTTAATATTAGTATAGATAGTGAAAATTACTTACTCTTCCACGTCTTTTTCTCGTTGTTCAAGCTGCAAGCGGACAGTGCACACCTCTAAGTACAGCTCGTTCGCTCGACACAACTGGTTCTCGTATATTTTTCGGACGTGCTTGTTTGATTCAGGATCGTCTTCAGCCTCCTCTTTCGGCTCAGATTTTGATCTAGGAGACAAAATAAAAGACACTTTGAAACGTGAAAATAACTTCTATAGAGGACCGAAAACAGACTGCTTTAAATTACTAATTGAAATCGATGATGATTTAACTTTGACTTGTAAAATATTTTAATTGTACTGGTTGTAGTTAGACAACGCAAAGCATATGTCCCGCGGTATTTTTCTGTTAATTCAGGTAGGGACTGGGATCTTTTAAATGTTTTTGCGTTATAGTCATTTTTGAAAACAGACTTTTTTATATGTTTGAAGTTTTTAGTCATCTTTGATAATAGTCCGCCTACTGTATTCTCTACCTAATTAAAGGCGCTATTATTATTTATTTTAAGAATAAATCAAAAACTTAACCGTGCTACATCGATAAATATCAAAACTAAACTCAAAATAAAGCGTGGACCTTTTTTGTCAATTCCTTTTTTTACTGTCAGAGGAGAAAGTTCAAAAGAACATTTTTGAAAAGATTGGTGGAGGTAGAGATTACTATCCTACGACCGCTCCTTCGTTGGCGAGGAAGATAGACAGCCGAAAGAAGGGCGGGGCCTTGTACTTATTAAAACTAAACACTTATTAAAGTTCGTAAATAACACATTCAGTGCCCCCGACGCGTATGTGCGTGCGAGGAAACGCACATACGCGTCGGGGGCACTGAATGTGTTAAAGCTTGAATGATGTGGATATAAATCACGGAAAAAAACTATAACCGATTGTGATATTAATGTGTAGAGTGCGATATAATAAAGAACATAATATATACCTTTTAAAATAGGAATTAAACCACCGTAACATTTTTAACCTTAAGTCACCTAGTAACTAAACCTAAACTTTGTTATAATATAACTATTGATACTTTCACTATTGAACAGTTAAAGACAGTTTGAATTCAAAAGATATAAAATCACGCTTCTAAATTAGCTCCCGACGGAAAAGTCAGAGTTGTTTGGCGAAATTATTTTAAACACAAAAGTTTTTGAGAAGTTCATCGACTGCTGTGAGAAACTTGACGCTGAAACTAGTATTTTAAGTATTTTAAGCTAAAGCTGCTAGTTGTTTGTCATTTGAGTAACAAGACGTTGTTACTGTTTTAATGTGCGACTTTTTAGTACAATTATTAAAAATTAGCGATTTTTTTAAATTACGTACCTAATTTAAAATAATTACAACTTTTTAAATAAAATAACTCTTTTTTAGTCCCAAACTTTTTATCTTACCCCAAATTATGAAACATAACTGACTACACTATAACCATGAAACTGGTGTGAATATCTGAATCGTGAATTGAAGATTATATTATTAAAGAATTTATTTAAACACTGAATAAAAAACACCGCTTAGTAATTTAAAAACACCCGTAATTTTATTATAATATTTTAAACAGTTTACGATAACGCATATTTTTTTTTTACTTTATTTTTATTAGTCTTAAAATTACAAAAGTAGTATGATAAAGTTTTGAAATTCGCCGCGAGTTCAACTAAACTTATTCGCATAAACCACGACCCTTATTTCTTCCGAATAATGATTTATCTTTTATAATATATATAAAGCCAATTTTATTTGAAATTCACACCAATAATCATACAAAGAATATTAGAACAATAATTAATTTAAATTAAATAAACTCAATTCCCGGTAAAAATTAACGAACAAATAATGCAAATTTTAAAAATAGAAAATAGTATTTAATGAAATAAAATAATAGTAACATTAGAATAATTATTTAAAACTACATGCTGCGCCAACTTACCAACGAACAAAGAAAACACAACTTCGAAACATTAAAAACGTAAAATATTATGGCAATTAAATATAAAAAAAAAAATCTACAAAAAAAATATTAGCACGATAAAGTTTAGAACAAACACCTCACCCGGAAGGAGTCGACGCGAAACGAACAAAGAGAAAATACAATTTAAAAATCTCAAAAAATAAAACGCATACCAGAATCATTAAATAAAAATAGAACATTATTTTTTTAAATAGTAAATAATAATGCGCAAAATAAAAGTTGTTAAAAAGTTAGAGGGAAACTTAGTAGGAACGATGTTCGAACGTGACTGTGTCCGGCACCGGTAAACACGACCGCACGCTCTGCAAACCGAAGGCTTACTGGCTCAGTGATAACGTTCGTCCCCGCTGCTCATCACGAACTAAGGAACTCGGAACTGTTGCACCGCCATCATCGACGCACAAAGGTACTACCTATCCACGATCGCATTTACACCGTACTCAAAATGGTATACACCGAGATTCTTTAATTTATTTTCCACGGTCGCATTTACACCGTACTCAAAATGTTGTACACCGATATTTTTTAATTTAATAACAGAAATAACTTTGTAAATTACAAAAAACGAGTATTGGCAACTTAAATGTTTAATTTACAATTATTTTTTGTAAGTTTAGATTTTTAATGGCAATTTGATTTTTTATCTAGATTTTTTGCCTCACGAATTTAGGCGATGGCAATAAAAGCGGAATTTTGCAACAAATATTGATAGTTTAGTTTTCTTTTTCGATTTTTATGCATTTTTCAAACAGTTTCAGTCATACAAAGTGGACTTCTCTAGTGAATAGCTCAGCAAAAAAACAAGTAATGTATTTCGGAACTTTCAACCTATTTATAATTCTCACTCGTTTTAGTTCTAAATGTTGCGGCGAATTGAGGTCTTAATAATTTAAAGGTCACAATCACGAATACACGAGTTTTATTAAAATCGGATAAAACACCTATTTATATCACAAAAAGTCTGATAGTGGAAAATATTATAAAAATGTAAAAAAAAAATAACAATTAAACGTTTACAATAACTCCTGATAAAATGTCAAATAGCGACAACAGATATTTTAAATTCCTTTGTAAAAAAGGCACTAGACATCGATAAATACCTCATCGATTATGTGTAAAACGACTCTTAAAAAATTCGAAGTTAAACAATAATGAGATGAGAAATATAAAAAAGTTGAAAATAATTTAGATGTTACTTATATGATAAAATCTACGTCGAAACCGTCGCTATAACCTACCTCAACATTACATTGTTAAGACCTACTCCGATCCCAAACGACATTACTTTCCGCGGCCCTACTACAAAATGAACTCACTTATTCCGCTGTAAAATAAAATGAGTACTCACCTGGTGAAGAATCGAGTCATGCTATCTTGCACCTCTTTTCGCCACTCGATTTGATTCTTCTTAAAGCACTCCGTAGGATAGCTGGCTAATTCCGCTCCGGCAATTTCTAAGTTAGCGGCAATTATCTTGAAGGGAGGCCTGGTTTCAAACACAAACATTTTAATAATCACATAACTCATAAGGAAAGTTGTAAGGATATTTCGACTAGGCACTAATTCCAAAAAGAAATAATGGGGAGGCCCATTGCACTGCACACTTGCTGAATTTAAAACCCTAATAAGAATCTACATACCTATATATGTATGCATTCTATAAAAATAAAGCGCAAAAGTGTTGGTAGGTGCATAACTCAATACAACTTGGGTCTATATTTGCGCGGTTTCTTTTTTACTGATCTTGTATCGTGTTTCTGTCTGAAGAAGGCTATGATGAACATTTTAGAAAATTACAGGGAAAAATTGTGAAATTGTGACCCTTTCGTCGTTAGCGGGGTGGTTGGACAGCCGTGCGAAGCAGGGGCAGGCCGCTAGCAGTTAATATTGTTGATAGATTTTTTATTCATTTTTATTCAATTACATATGTAGCTATTGGGTAATTATTTTAATTCAAATATGGTTTGTGAACCAGTTTACTCTTAGTTCTTTCTTGTATTTTCTCATTTTTCAAGGAACCGGCTCAGAATTTTGATAGTCGTCTTATTTGAAAAAGAAATGACTAAACATGAGTCTATATTTCCTTGTGGGGAATATAGTGGGAATACAGGGAATAAAGGTTGCAGCAGTGAGGCTGAATGTAACCGTGTATTTATGAATTGTCGTGAGCGGGCTTGTTATTATAACCTTCCTTCTTCTACCGTGTAATAAATGTTCACATGGCGAATGAAATAATGTTTTCGTTTGCTTTTCATTATTGTTGTACTACATAATTTACTAAAATAAATACTACGATTGTATTTTTGTATGCGCATAACGTTGGTGTGTTAATTTAATATCATTCATCGTACACAACAAAATAGACGCTGGGCTAATTGCTGCGGTTTTAATCATAAAGTTGAGAGTGAATTAAATCACACCAAATTGGGTCGACTTCATGAAAACATCACGTAATTACTTATTTTTTATAAAATAATTATTAAACCAAATGTTCGATGTGAAACTAAATTTGTTTACTGTAACTAAACACAACGAATGTGATTATTTTGCGGTGTTCAATGACAAATCGTGGTCAGTTATTTATAATCAAATAGGGTAGTGTATTTAGCCATAACTTGTTAGGTTATGGATTACTTTGCTTGCTCCGGTTAGCGCGGTGTCACTTTTCATCCTCACCATACCTATGACTGCTAAGTTAGAACCTATGTAATTCTGTTTGATTTTCACTCACCTGTTCCTCGGAGTGCGGTTCCAGCACTGGTTCATGAGCAGCTGCATGCTGCCCGGCATTGATGTCGGCACGGGCAGAGCAATCGTGTCTGTGCCCACACCCCACATTATGGCATGTGTCTCTAGATTTTTATACGGGACCTCTTGTGTGAGGAGTTCCCAGAGCACAACGCCATACGACCATACGTCGACCCGTTCTGAACAAGGTTCGTGCCTGATCACTTCGGGGGCCATCCAAGCCACTGTTCCCGTAAAACTCATCACGGCACTTACATCATTCCACTCGCGACTGGTGCCGAAATCACTTACTTTTACTACAAGGTTATCCGCAATCAGTACGCTGAAAATAATGATTAGATGTAACAAACGCATTGGACATAGATTCGGCTATAGAATTAGTGTACCAACTTAGTCTGGTCGTCTAATATATTGGTATTCACACGTACTCTTCTGTTTGGTAAAGTATGTATATTGAATATTCATTAGAATTACAGGTACTGAAGTGCACTCTAGATTTTTACAAGAGCCAGGTAAGTAGAACTAATTAAATTGGCGACTTTTACCCGAGACCTTTAACACGCGCGTGTAGTCGGTATAACTTTATTATCTGCCGACATAGTTTACAGGAACTCGGTAAAATAATTTCCTTCAGATATATTTTACACGTGTACCATAATTAATATGTTGCAGGGATATTGTATTAGCGGATTCACGGCGCTTAGTCGGTAATAAGGCGTAAAGCATTGCCTTAGAAGCAACTTTTGCTTGAAGTCCAGTGAAAGTGCATGTACAAAATATATTAGTAGGATAAATCTTACGATATGATTCAATCGATAAAATTGCAAGACCGCGATGTCCGAGACGTCCTTCAGAAATTCAATTCCCGGAGTTAGTTCCTTTATAAAGACCATTTGAAATGTTACATCTTATAAAATTGCAATCGGCTTTGAGCAGCGTTGGAGCAGGTCCCTTTAAAAGTGAACTGTGTAAATATAAATGCAATTAGGTCATCGCTGCTCGTAAAAATATTGTTCAGAGACAATAAAATTGCTAACTGCATTTTCCGTTTAAGATTACGTATTTATAAAAAAAACCATTTAAGGATTAAAGTTAGGGTACCATGTTAATTTAATCTGTATGTGTCACTATTTTTATAATAGTAATTTGTCATTCAATGCCCTACAGTTTAGCACATTGATGTCCAAACTAAGTGAATGACTAGTTCGTGAAGAGCAACTTCGTTCTTCACTTCTCGTAGTACCTTTAGTTACTCCTAGAGAGATTCCTATTTATTTAAAAGCAAAGTAATTAATTAAATAGTTATATACAGAAATTCATAACTTTCTAGGAAAAGCATTTTTTATAAAAACCCAGCATGAGCAAAGGAAATGTATATTAAATTACTAACGTTTGAATTAATTACAAACTGGCACGAGTCGTCTGTTCGTCCTTTTTCTTTTATCATGTTCGTAATATTAATACCGTTAAACATAATCCTGTAAAACTAACTAAAGGCGCCGACTCTTCAGACTTATGCACTCCTGATGTCGGCTACTTTATATTCTAAATGTCAAACTTCCGCACTACTAGCTCATACAACGCGGCGACGTCCAAGTCGGGAAAGTTTCTCAAAGTTCAATAGCATGAAAATATTGAAAACAAACGTTAAGATGGGCTCTAAAGGTCAGTAGAACCGACAAGAGAATGCACCTCTTAGTTAGTTTTACGACAAAGACGAGATTGTTGAAGAGTCCTAAAGGTACTTTCTAAACTTAATGTCGGTGCGTAACTAGGCAACTGACTACTCAAATCCCGGCAAAAGCCATAGATCCGAGACGACCTTGAGACAAGTAGTAAAGTAAAAATAATCTAAGTACCTGGTAGGTTCGATTAATGTGACCTAGTCTACATTTAAATGACCTATTGCTGTGTATAGGCAATAAATTTTCTATAGCCAGTTGATTATGTCTAATATAACCCAACTATTACAACATAGTTTATTAAGAAGTATTAAACATCTCAGTCATTTAATTAAGGCTTCATTCATGGGCTGAGTGAATTAAGAAGAGTAAAGTACTGAGGCATGTATCCTTCCATAAGTCTGAATCTCTAAACTAATGAACCCGGTAGCTCTTAGATAGAAACCGCTACCAACTTAAAAATAAAAATCTTTTTGTCATACAAAATAATGCATCTATTTACAGTCCTCCCCTCACATTATTTTGGCTAGACGGACATTTAACGAATGCAAATTTAACCGGAATGAAATGACCGAAATATTTTGATGAACAGTGAACACTCGGACTTAACTCTGAGCGTAATTTTTATTTATAATAATCTATTTGCAGTTGGTCGATTTTACTTAAGGAGAGTCACACACTAACGCAATTAAACTACATGAATAATTCAAAGATATTAATTTGCAAGTGAACCAGGCATGCAAAACTATTTAACGCTCCGTCAGAGAAACAACGAGGTACTGAAATAGTTCAGGTACTATTTTAAAGTTAGGACGATTTCGGCTTTCCGGTTAGTCTGTGGTCATTTCAAGCAGATTTTCTGGCAAATTTGTACGTAATTTTATCTACTGTTTTGGTGTATCTAAATTGAATAAACTTGTAGCCAGCGACATGTTCTAACTTGTCATAGTAGACAATTTCATATTGGGGTGCGTGCCAGAAGACCTCCCCGTGGTGCACCCTGGGTGCGGGCGACAGTCCCCCTAACGGGATGGCGACAGGGTTGGTTTGACTGTCGCCCGCAGCGAACTTCTGGCCGGGCGGAGAACCCGGTCGGGTTCTAGAGGCGACCGGCTCTATGCTGTCATAGGGTCTAAGCCTCCGTGGGGGCGTTCCTCCGCACGACTCTCTGGACCTAGCAGAGAGCGGGGTGGAGAAACAAGGGCGGCGCTCGTTGTGCACTCACCCTGCCAATGAGTAGCATCGGGGCACTAGCTGCGCCCGACTGCACCCGTCGATATCGTAATCCGGGAAGAGATCATGGTCATGTTTTATGACTCGGACCGGGACGAGGGTCTTGGCTTAACCGCCCGGACCGCGAGGAAGATAACCTCTATAAAAAATTCCTCCAATACTAAGTTCTGGTGCGCGGCGAGGGTATGTATGGCTGAGGAGTAGGATCAGTCGTGAGCGCACCCCCAGCTAGGGGACCGGTGGACCCCCTAGTTGGGAGACAAATGCACACTTACCCAGGGACAGGGGGCTCTCCCTGGGCGGACCTCTTATTTCCCCCATACTCGTGGGACTTCAATGGAGATGTCTAAAAAAAACCAAAATAAAAATCCACCTACCGGTGAGGAGAAGGCAAGCGAGGTTAGCTCGCTTGGAGGCGATAGTGAGGGCCAGGGCGGCTCTCGGGTTCGTGGGGAGGCGCTGGTCCCGTCCAGCAAGTCCCGTGCACGGGCCCCGGGGAGGAAGGAGTCGGACTCAGAGTCCGACTCATCATTGTCTGGCGTCAGCATCGCGCTGCGCCACAAGAAAGACCGGGGCGTCTTTAAACGTCCCAGGCTGGAGGATGGTCGAGAGCCGTCCTCCAACGAGCAGGAGGCCCCAGCCCCCAAAATCCCCACGGCTGCGCGGGGTAGGGGCAAGGGGAAGGGCTCCACAAGGGCGGCTGGGAGCCGATCTGAGCCGGCAGTGCGGCTGGCAGCGGAGGGGAGCGCCCTGGGAAAGGCTGCCCCCTCGGACTCCTCGGAGATGGAGGTGTCCGGCGGTGAGGATGCTGTAGACGGCGCTGAGAGCCTCCGCCTCCAGGTTAAGGAAGCACTCCGCATGCTGGCTGGGAAAAAAACCCAGGCTGGCAGGAACGGAGTTCTTAAGCACGCGGAGGCCGCTATAATGTCGGCGGTATCCCAGCAGGGCTCAGCAGAGCGGCAGATGACCGCTCTGCAAAAAGAGATGGCCGGAATGAGGCGCGAGCTGGCCCGATTAGCGGCTGCGAACTCTGCCCTGGAGGCGGAACTTCGTGCAGCAAAGGCGGAACTCGCCGCTGCTCGCGCGGGTCGTCCCCAACCCTCGCAGCCAGCTGAGGCCGACCTTCTCGGCCTTATGCGGCGGGAGATGGCCGCCTTCCAGCAGCGTTTCGACGTGCTGGAGGGTAGGCTCCTCCGACCTCCACTCGCAGCCGGGTCGTATGCTGCCGCAGCGGCTAAGCCCAAGCCGCCAACCAGCCGTGGGGCACAAGCCAGCGCACCGGTGAAGAAGGGTGCGAAAGCGCCGACAGCCTTGTCACCGACGAGGGCGCCCGAGTCTCCCTCGGCGCTGGCTCCTGCGCCGATGAGCCGCAGACGAAGAGGAGCAGCGGCTGGAGCCCCAGCCGCATCGGCACCTACTCCGCCGTCTGAGCCGCGTGCTGGTAGCGAGTGGCAAGTGGCGGGGGAGGTGAGGAAGGTCGCCAAAGAGAGGAGGAAACTCCGGAAGAAGGAGCAGCGGCAGCGGCGACAGCAGCGGCGCAAGGAGAAGCGCGCTGCGGCAATGCTCCTCGCCCCAAAATCTTCGGCTGTAGTTATCACACTACAGCCGGACGCGGCGAAAAAGGGGGTGACGTATGGCGAGGTCCTCGCCAAATTGAAGGGGGCGGTAACTCCCGCGGAGTTTGGGGCACCCGACGGGTTCGCAGTGAGGGTCACTGCCACTGGAGCCCGTCTCTTGGAGGTCCCCGGCGCGGCCAGCGGCCCGTCCGCTGACGCCCTTGCCGAGAGGCTCAGGGCGTGCGTTGCGGCGGACGAAGCTCGCGTGTCCAGGCCCACCAAATGCCTGGAGCTACGCATCATGAGCCTGGACGACTCCGTGACGGAGAATGAGGTGGCGGCCGCTGTCGCCAGGACTGGGGGGTGCCCTGCTGACCAGGTCAAGGCAGGCACTATCCGCCCGGACAATACGGGGCTGCGGACTGTGGTAGTCAGCTGCCCCGTCACAGCGGCCAAAAAAGCTGGCAGAGGGCAAAAGGCTCCTGGTGGGCTGGGTTTCGGCGCAGGTGAAGCTGCTGGAACCCCGACCTTTGAGGTGCTTCCGCTGCCTCATTGGCCATCATGTGGGTGCCAAATGCACCTCAGAGGTGGACCGCAGCGACCGCTGCTTCCGCTGCGGTCAGCCCGGTCACAGGGCCGGCGCTTGTACCGCCCCGCCGCACTGCGTAGTATGTGCGGCAGCTGGCAAGCCGGCCGATCACCGGGCTGGGGGCAAAACCTGCTCCCCCCCCACCAAGCCCAGGAGCAAAGGTAGGCCCTTAGCCACCTCCACCGCTCCCACCGTCGCTCCCGCTGCCGCCGCAGTCGCCAACACCCCTGCGACTGCTGCTGTCGCCGCTGCCGTCAGAGAG